GCGCGGTGTTTTTCGGGGGTGAACTACACCGCCTGTAACCTCTCTGACCTCTCCGCTGCCCTGCAATCTTTCACCGCCACCGGCGACCTACGCAGCGCCGCCGCGGCTCATGCCCGAATCATTATCCTTCATGATCTCGCATCATCTTCCTTTTCTCTCTGGAACAAGCTCCTCAAGTTCTACCTAAACTATGGTCACCCCCGCGATGTCCGCCTTTTGTTTGATCAAATGCCGAACAGGGATGCCGTATCTTACAACACTTTTATCTCCGCTCATATCCGCAGCAATGGAGATCCTACGGAAGCCGTGTTTCTGTACTCCCGAATGCTGGAGGAAGGAATGACTCCCAATGCCCTAACCCTATCAGTACTGCTCTCGGGTTACAATACTAGTAAGTATCCTTGTGTGCTGATGCAACTTCACTCACATGCGATAAAATTTGGCTTATGCTCCGATGGATTTGTCGGAGGAGCTTTGGTGAATTGCTACGAGAGGTTATCAGGGCTTGAGGACGCCATTTGTGCGTTTGAAGATATAACAGAGTTCGATTCAGTCTCGTGGAATATAATGATTGATGCCTGTGCTTGCAGCGGCAACAAAGAGAAGACCGTCTCCATTTTCTTAAGAATGAGATGGGAAAATGGTGGCTGCTTCGATTGTTTTGCGTTGACGAGCGTCTTGAAAACCTGCTTGGAGAAGAAGGATTTGGACCTGGGCATGCAGCTCCATAGCTGCGCTTTGAAGTTTGGGTTGGACTCCGATACTCCAGCTGGAAATGCTCTACTAACAATGTACTCTAGATGTGGAGAAGCCATTGATTCTGCCTCACAAGTGTTTGAGAGAATTCCGAAACCGAATATCATAACTTGGACAGCAATGCTCAGCGCATTTGTGCAGTATGGGATGACGAATGAGGTGATTAGCTTTTACAGAAAAATGCTCGGAGTAGGCATAACAGAAAATGAATATTGCTTTGCTACTGTTTTGCCTGCTTTCAGTGAATTATCCGTTGTTGAACATGGGAGAATGATTCATTCCAGAGTATTGAAATCCAAAGTTCAATCAGATGTTGGGGTGGGCAATGCTCTTATGGATATGTACTTTAAATGTGGGAGCTTGGAAGATGCTCATTTGGTCTTTCAGACCATGAAAAACATTGATGTGGTGTCATGGACCATAATGATTTATGGCTATGGTCAGCATGGGAAGGGAAGAAAAGCTCTCGAGCTGTTTGAATTGATGAAAAAACAAGGCTTTAAGCCTGATGGAGTTACTTTCCTTGGTGCCTTATCTGCCTGCAGCCATGGAGGTCTTGTAAATGAAGGACTTGGGATTGTGGAATCCATGATTGGCGAATACTGCATAAAGCCTAGAAGGGAACATTGTGCATGTGTGGTAGATTTGTTTGGTAGAGCGGGAAGGTTGAGAGAAGCTGAGGGGTTTATAGAAGAGATGGGTGCGGGATCGGATCCGTTGGTGTGGGAAACACTTTTAGGGGCTTGTGAGATATATGGAGAAATGGAAGTTGGAAAGAGGTCAGCAGATAAGCTAATGGCACTGAAACCAGGCAATAATGGTCCATATGTCTCTCTCTCTAATATTTATGCTGAGCAAAAGATGTGGGAAGAGAAGGGTGAGTTGAGGCAGAGATTGGATGCAAGTGGAATGAGAAAGGATGCGGCACAGAGCTGGGTTTGAGCTTTAGATATTTGATTGGAAGATTTACATACATGCCACTCAATTCTTATGTATTTATCTATGCAAGAAAATGTGTATTTCAATGCTTAAAAGTTAATAGTGGTTTTTTTTTAATGTGATATGAAGGATTTTGGTTGTTTAAATGCAAAAAAGTAAAGTTTAGGTGTTAAACTAATAATTCTGGAGCATGCCACTTGTCTTCCAATTGTTAAATGGTAGTATCTTTGCGCCGTTACACCCACATACAAACAAACCATTTATATGGTAAAACCCTGCTTTATCCTCGCTTAATATAATACAGATTGTAGAATAACATCTAAAACAGATTGCCGGGAAATTTTAAACCAACGGAAAGAAAGTAAATCAATCAGAGATTAAGGGCTGAGATACAACCTACTGAAACTAGTGGAGAGGAGCAGAGTTACTAGCCGAGAACAGTTATCACCATCCCTCAAATTGAGGATTCATGTGGAAGCGTCAATTTGGTGCAGAGAACTTGAAGCTTTGTATTGGTGAGAAATTTGATGAAGGGAGGTTCTAAACCAACGGATAGGAAGTAAATCAGTCAGAGATTAAGGGCTGAGATACGACCTACTGAAACTAGTGGAGAGGAGCAGTTACTAAGCGAGAACAGTTATCACCATCCCTCAAATTGAGGATTCATGTGGAAGCGTCAATTTGGTGCAGAGAACTTGAAGCTTTGTATTGGTGAGAAATTTGATGAATACATCAGCAACTTGTTCTTGAGCGAATATGTGATGAACAATGATATCATTTTAATTGATATGGTCTCGTATAAAATGATAGTTAACTTCAATATGCTTAATTTGTGCATGATACACTGGTTTTATTAGGCAAAGCAATAGCCGAATATTGTCGCAAATCACAATATACAGGTGTTGGTCAAGTAAGAGATATGCCAATTCAACTAAAAGACATATCCAAATAATATGAGAAGTTGTAGCGAGAGCATGATCTTCCGCTTCAGTTGAGTTATAATCCATAGTTGTTTGTTTGCACACTAGATAAGGGTTGAGCCAAGAAATAAGCAAAAACCAGTAATCATGAGCATCACGATCATGGACTTGGCGCCTATGAGCCAATGTCTCTACCACGCATTGCTTAAGTCAGTAGTCAAATTTTGATCATGAGCATCACGATCATGGACTTGGCCCCTATGAGCCAATGTCTCTACCACGCATTGCTTAAGTTGGGCCCTTAGGCACCTAAAGGTTAACACATAAGCACCAACGACTCTGGAATCAAACAATGCCCACATATAAGTGGGCGCATATGCGCCCATAGCCGGCGCTTATGTGTCGACTCCTGTGAAGCTGCGCCTAGAAGTGAGCGCATATGCGCTGTGCTTCGGCTCCACACACAAAGCAATAATCTTCCGCTTGGAAACGATATCACCCAACACCAGTCAAATATAACAATAACAATAGTAATAATTTTAATAAAATAATAATAATGCATCATTTTTTGCAAGTTAATTTATTTACCTATGTATATTTGTGCATTTGGTCATCTATGATAATTTCATTTCAATTCTCATATAAGTTATGGTCGGATCAACTATAGAACATATTTATACAACTAGTAAACACATTTACATGTCGAGTGACTAGATCGACTGGTGAACTTGAATGTGTTAAGCATGGTGTTGTTTTCAGGCTAAATAAAACTTTATAGAAGGAAGTAAATAATCTAATGCGAACTTACAACGTAAGAGATCTTCTACCCACCTCTTCACATAGAAGTTCCCTTAGCCTAAAATTTTACTTTGAATACACATAGAAATTTAAATAGAAACTTGAATATTTAAAAAAAATTACTAAAGAAGTATATAGCCTGAAAATGTGAGAATGCAGGACTGCTGGCTTGAAGGAAATTATACATTTTTCTGGCACAACAATGACACATACTATTTAGTATAAATTAAGTAGTTAATAATAATAATAATAATAATAATAATTTGAAAATCACAGCTTATAACTTTAACAACAAAAGAAAACTAGTTGTATTACAGTTTGCACAATTGTTTTGCCTCAACATAAAATTATAATGTAGGTTCATTAATCAAAGATGAGTCTGCAAATTTCAACATTTATGTTATACTATGACTATGAATTAATTATTGCTGATAACTTCAACTAAGGTTGTGTAAGAGGTCGTGCCGACTTCTTTGTATACCGACACATTCAACCTTTAAACAACTGCATTTTAGAGCACTATGTGCCCTAAGTGGTGATCCTAGAACTCACACCGTATGGATTGTATGCAAATTTTAAGTCGGTATGTCACAACTCTAATATGAGACAATGAGATCACATAGTGTATACTATAAGTTGCTCAATAATAAAACTTAACACTATGTAAAAATGAGAGCTACGATGATGTTCCTCAAAGTAATAAAGTGGAAGCTAATAAAGAGAGTGACATGATAGTTCGGACGATTAGCCATGGTGAATATTCATGCTATGGAGTCAAATTTTCAGAGGTTAATGGACATGAGAAGAGGGATGTGGATTGGGCCGACTTTCACCGACAGCACATTGAGATCTAGGATGATAGAGAGGTATATCTACTGTTGCCCCATATTTTGGAGGGAGAAGAGGGATGTGGATTGGGATTGGGAGTTGAGGCAGAGAGGTATATCTACTGTTGCCCCATATTTTGGAGGCGTAGATCGGGATCGAGTTGTTGTTTTATACATGAGATGGGTAAGGACATGGGCTACGCTACACTAACTATAAAAGATTCTTCAGACACATTACTTGAGAGCACGTGTACAACGAGCTCATGTATTTACTAACTCTCAAACAAATTAAAGTTTATCTACACTAATTTTCAAATGTTATGCATATAATTAATATTTTTTTATCATGATTATGTTGTGAAGATAAATGAATTTTCATCACCTTTTTGGAGCTCCGATGATGAGAGTCCTAAATAAAAGGCAATGATAACATGGGAGACCTATATGAGGCAATCGCTCAACCTATCTAACATGTTGTAAAAAGATGACAACAACAAAAAGGATGCAGGCATTTCACCGTCGACCTATAATCACGGGCCTTCTAATTCTACATTCATAACCCCACCCCACCTCCTTATGTTCTCTAGAATTAATCTCATACGAGTACACTCTGACAACATATACTAAAGCAAGTATATCATTCATCGGTGACACCTTGTGCCGCTCCTTCACAGCACCAGTTTTGGATCCTGCATGCGATGATACCTTCACATGATCAACAGTGTTAGGCGTATGTTGCAAATTTCATATTTTGTACATGCTCAAAGACAGTTTACATCATATCCCATGACTTATCTTATACACCTGGACAGAAGGATGACCGAGAACAATTATATGACCAACAGTAACACCACTTACCTTCATTTGCACTTCTATTTTTCTCTCAGATGCACTATTTATTGGATGATACCCTCATTTATGACTTCTTTATTGTCTTTGTTTCTTTTATTATGTCGCTTTTAAGCATTTAAATAAAAAATACTTAAGAATTGTAACTTATTCCTTGAATCTTAAACTATTTCTTAAAAAAATAAATACAAAGAAAAACAATATATCTTATCAAAATTTAATATGAGCACTTAATGAATTATTTATATTAAATTAAACTAATAGGTGTAAATATTTCTAAAATTAATATTAGTATATGATCATTATCTTACTTATTTTTTCAATTAAATATACATTATAAAAATATTATTCTAGAGTTTTATAATAAAAAAATATTACTAATTTAAAAATAATATTATTTATCATAAATTCAATCATAATTTATTATAAGTATTATTTAAATTATCATTCTACACTCAAATCACCATTCTTCAATCTATACTGAAATCTAAGAAATTATCAAAATGAACAAAATTGGTACAAATTTGTCCTTAGATGTTAATATATAAATACATAGGAATTAGCTGGTATTTATGTAATGGTATGTTTGTAATGGCCCTTTTTCTAATAATATTATACTAATTCATATTTTTTAGACTCAAAACAATTCTAGCATTAAAATAATACTGAAACTGACCGCCAATCTTCTTTCTTATCTTCAAAACAAAGCTTATTCTCTTCAAAAGTCATCTGTAGTATCCTAATGAAGTTTTTTTGGCCTTCCATCTACATCTGATAAATAGACATATCATCTACATCTACCCTAAAAAACAAGATATCTCAGAGAGGATTAGACGAGCTTCGCAACCAAAACCACACAACGTGGACTACACGACCAGCCAACAGTGCTCCAACTACTGCTTCACGGCATCACCTACCCCCCTCGAATAATCTGTAGCCATTGCTGCCCCACCACTTAGCCGCTCATGTTCTCTCCGAAGCTACGTATTCCCATTTTTAGGGTTTAGGAAGAAGATGACGACCTCAGTGGAGATCCAGCTGTTTGATGATTGCTTCGGTTATACAGCATTACTAAAGTTCTCGCCTTGAAAATGAGGCCCACAAATGATTCAATTTTTCAGCAGAGTTTGTTTGAATCCGACTTAGGATGATTGAATACTATGCCTGTTATTTCAGAATGAGGCATGAGAAGTAGGGCTGCCAAAAGGGCTGGTCGTTCGGTGTTTGGCTCAATAAATAACTTGAGTTTGATTCATTTGTTACGATGGAACATGAATAATTTTTTGAGCTCCCTTTGTACACGAGCCGGACACGAGCACGAACATGTGTTTATTCAATTGTATTCCGTTTGTTTTAACTCAAACTAATGATATAATTATATTTATAGATAGATAGATAGATAACTGATGACCGTTATGTTTAAATAATTTAATTACCAACAAATATTTATAATTAATTAAAATTATGTTTGTTCACGTCCTTCTTTGTTCTTGCCAGAAAGGCCTCTTAGCGTTGGTCTTTTTAAAATCCTCCTTTATAGATCACCCAGTCTAGAAAAAATAAAGAAAAAAAATGAAAAATTGAATGTGGAAAAAATTAAGAAGAAAAAAGAATAGAAGCTACAAAGATATTTATATAGAAAAATCCTAATAACATAAATCGAAG